CTGAGACCGTGAATTCCTGGTTGTGTTGGGAGATGACGGCCGCGTTTTTGCGAAAGCATTAAATAAAAGCAGCTATTTCTACCTTTGCCTCTGAGCATCTGTAAGTACGAGCCTGAAGGCAGTTAAGTGTGGCTTAAAACTGGCTTTCCCGTTTCACAGGGGCTTCCAGCGAGGGTGCGCCGTGCCGTTGCTCCTTGGCGCTGGCCCCTTGCTGTCGCTGAAGCGCCCTTACCGCTGAGCGAAGGGATGGAGGGATGGGAGTGGGGATGGGATGGAGGGGACCAGCAGGGATGGAGGGACAAGAAGGGATGGAGGGATGGGAGTGGGGATGGGATGGAGGGGACCAGCAGGGATGGAGGGACAAGAAGGGATGGAGGGATGGGAGTGGGGATGGGATGGAGGGGACCAGCAGGGATGGAGGGACAAGAAGGGATGGAGGGATGGGAGTGGGGATGGGATGGAGGGGACCAGCAGGGATGGAGGGACAAGAAGGGATGGAGGGATGGGAGTGGGGATGGGATGGAGGGGACCAGCAGGGATGGAGGGACAAGAAGGGATGGAGGGATGGGAGTGGGGATGGGATGGAGGGGACCAGCAGGGATGGAGGGACAAGAAGGGATGGAGGGATGGGAGTGGGGATGGGATGGAGGGGACCAGCAGGGATGGAGGGACAAGAAGGGATGGAGGGATGGGAGTGGGGATGGGATGGAGGGGACCAGCAGGGATGGAGGGACAAGAAGGGATGGAGGGATGGGAGTGGGGATGGGATGGAGGGGACCAGCAGGGATGGAGGGACAAGAAGGGATGGAGGGATGGGAGTGGGGATGGGATGGAGGGGACCAGCAGGGATGGAGGGACAAGAAGGGATGGAGGGATGGGAGTGGGGATGGGATGGAGGGGACCAGCAGGGATGGAGGGACAAGAAGGGATGGAGGGATGGGAGTGGGGATGGGATGGAGGGGACCAGCAGGGATGGAGGGACAAGAAGGGATGGAGGGATGGGAGTGGGGATGGGATGGAGGGGACCAGCAGGGATGGAGGGACAAGAAGGGATGGAGGGATGGGAGTGGGGATGGGATGGAGGGGACCAGCAGGGATGGAGGGACAAGAAGGGATGGAGGGATGGGAGTGGGGATGGGATGGAGGGGACCAGCAGGGATGGAGGGACAAGAAGGGATGGAGGGATGGGAGTGGGGATGGGATGGAGGGGACCAGCAGGGATGGAGGGACAAGAAGGGATGGAGGGATGGGAGTGGGGATGGGATGGAGGGGACCAGCAGGGATGGAGGGACAAGAAGGGATGGAGGGATGGGAGTGGGGATGGGATGGAGGGGACCAGCAGGGATGGAGGGACAAGAAGGGATGGAGGGATGGGAGTGGGGATGGGATGGAGGGGACCAGCAGGGATGGAGGGACAAGAAGGGATGGAGGGATGGGAGTGGGGATGGGATGGAGGGGACCAGCAGGGATGGAGGGACAAGAAGGGATGGAGGGATGGGAGTGGGGATGGGATGGAGGGGACCAGCAGGGATGGAGGGACAAGAAGGGATGGAGGGATGGGAGTGGGGATGGGATGGAGGGGACCAGCAGGGATGGAGGGACAAGAAGGGATGGAGGGATGGGAGTGGGGATGGGATGGAGGGGACCAGCAGGGATGGAGGGACAAGAAGGGATGGAGGGATGGGAGTGGGGATGGGATGGAGGGGACCAGCAGGGATGGAGGGACAAGAAGGGATGGAGGGATGGGAGTGGGGATGGGATGGAGGGGACCAGCAGGGATGGAGGGACAAGAAGGGATGGAGGGATGGGAGTGGGGATGGGATGGAGGGGACCAGCAGGGATGGAGGGACAAGAAGGGATGGAGGGATGGGAGTGGGGATGGGATGGAGGGGACCAGCAGGGATGGAGGGACAAGAAGGGATGGAGGGATGGGAGTGGGGATGGGATGGAGGGGACCAGCAGGGATGGAGGGACAAGAAGGGATGGAGGGATGGGAGTGGGGATGGGATGGAGGGGACCAGCAGGGATGGAGGGACAAGAAGGGATGGAGGGATGGGAGTGGGGATGGGATGGAGGGGACCAGCAGGGATGGAGGGACAAGAAGGGATGGAGGGATGGGAGTGGGGATGGGATGGAGGGGACCAGCAGGGATGGAGGGACAAGAAGGGATGGAGGGATGGGAGTGGGGATGGGATGGAGGGGACCAGCAGGGATGGAGGGACAAGAAGGGATGGAGGGATGGGAGTGGGGATGGGATGGAGGGGACCAGCAGGGATGGAGGGACAAGAAGGGATGGAGGGATGGGAGTGGGGATGGGATGGAGGGGACCAGCAGGGATGGAGGGACAAGAAGGGATGGAGGGATGGGAGTGGGGATGGGATGGAGGGGACCAGCAGGGATGGAGGGACAAGAAGGGATGGAGGGATGGGAGTGGGGATGGGATGGAGGGGACCAGCAGGGATGGAGGGACAAGAAGGGATGGAGGGATGGGAGTGGGGATGGGATGGAGGGGACCAGCAGGGATGGAGGGACAAGAAGGGATGGAGGGATGGGAGTGGGGATGGGATGGAGGGGACCAGCAGGGATGGAGGGACAAGAAGGGATGGAGGGATGGGAGTGGGGATGGGATGGAGGGGACCAGCAGGGATGGAGGGACAAGAAGGGATGGAGGGATGGGAGTGGGGATGGGATGGAGGGGACCAGCAGGGATGGAGGGACAAGAAGGGATGGAGGGATGGGAGTGGGGATGGGATGGAGGGGACCAGCAGGGATGGAGGGACAAGAAGGGATGGAGGGATGGGAGTGGGGATGGGATGGAGGGGACCAGCAGGGATGGAGGGACAAGAAGGGATGGAGGGATGGGAGTGGGGATGGGATGGAGGGGACCAGCAGGGATGGAGGGACAAGAAGGGATGGAGGGATGGGAGTGGGGATGGGATGGAGGGGACCAGCAGGGATGGAGGGACAAGAAGGGATGGAGGGATGGGAGTGGGGATGGGATGGAGGGGACCAGCAGGGATGGAGGGACAAGAAGGGATGGAGGGATGGGAGTGGGGATGGGATGGAGGGGACCAGCAGGGATGGAGGGACAAGAAGGGATGGAGGGATGGGAGTGGGGATGGGATGGAGGGGACCAGCAGGGATGGAGGGACAAGAAGGGATGGAGGGATGGGAGTGGGGATGGGATGGAGGGGACCAGCAGGGATGGAGGGACAAGAAGGGATGGAGGGATGGGAGTGGGGATGGGATGGAGGGGACCAGCAGGGATGGAGGGACAAGAAGGGATGGAGGGATGGGAGTGGGGATGGGATGGAGGGGACCAGCAGGGATGGAGGGACAAGAAGGGATGGAGGGATGGGAGTGGGGATGGGATGGAGGGGACCAGCAGGGATGGAGGGACAAGAAGGGATGGAGGGATGGGAGTGGGGATGGGATGGAGGGGACCAGCAGGGATGGAGGGACAAGAAGGGATGGAGGGATGGGAGTGGGGATGGGATGGAGGGGACCAGCAGGGATGGAGGGACAAGAAGGGATGGAGGGATGGGAGTGGGGATGGGATGGAGGGGACCAGCAGGGATGGAGGGACAAGAAGGGATGGAGGGATGGGAGTGGGGATGGGATGGAGGGGACCAGCAGGGATGGAGGGACAAGAAGGGATGGAGGGATGGGAGTGGGGATGGGATGGAGGGGACCAGCAGGGATGGAGGGACAAGAAGGGATGGAGGGATGGGAGTGGGGATGGGATGGAGGGGACCAGCAGGGATGGAGGGACAAGAAGGGATGGAGGGATGGGAGTGGGGATGGGATGGAGGGGACCAGCAGGGATGGAGGGACAAGAAGGGATGGAGGGATGGGAGTGGGGATGGGATGGAGGGGACCAGCAGGGATGGAGGGACAAGAAGGGATGGAGGGATGGGAGTGGGGATGGGATGGAGGGGACCAGCAGGGATGGAGGGACAAGAAGGGATGGAGGGATGGGAGTGGGGATGGGATGGAGGGGACCAGCAGGGATGGAGGGACAAGAAGGGATGGAGGGATGGGAGTGGGGATGGGATGGAGGGGACCAGCAGGGATGGAGGGACAAGAAGGGATGGAGGGATGGGAGTGGGGATGGGATGGAGGGGACCAGCAGGGATGGAGGGACAAGAAGGGATGGAGGGATGGGAGTGGGGATGGGATGGAGGGGACCAGCAGGGATGGAGGGACAAGAAGGGATGGAGGGATGGGAGTGGGGATGGGATGGAGGGGACCAGCAGGGATGGAGGGACAAGAAGGGATGGAGGGATGGGAGTGGGGATGGGATGGAGGGGACCAGCAGGGATGGAGGGACAAGAAGGGATGGAGGGATGGGAGTGGGGATGGGATGGAGGGGACCAGCAGGGATGGAGGGACAAGAAGGGATGGAGGGATGGGAGTGGGGATGGGATGGAGGGGACCAGCAGGGATGGAGGGACAAGAAGGGATGGAGGGATGGGAGTGGGGATGGGATGGAGGGGACCAGCAGGGATGGAGGGACAAGAAGGGATGGAGGGATGGGAGTGGGGATGGGATGGAGGGGACCAGCAGGGATGGAGGGACAAGAAGGGATGGAGGGATGGGAGTGGGGATGGGATGGAGGGGACCAGCAGGGATGGAGGGACAAGAAGGGATGGAGGGATGGGAGTGGGGATGGGATGGAGGGGACCAGCAGGGATGGAGGGACAAGAAGGGATGGAGGGATGGGAGTGGGGATGGGATGGAGGGGACCAGCAGGGATGGAGGGACAAGAAGGGATGGAGGGATGGGAGTGGGGATGGGATGGAGGGGACCAGCAGGGATGGAGGGACAAGAAGGGATGGAGGGATGGGAGTGGGGATGGGATGGAGGGGACCAGCAGGGATGGAGGGACAAGAAGGGATGGAGGGATGGGAGTGGGGATGGGATGGAGGGGACCAGCAGGGATGGAGGGACAAGAAGGGATGGAGGGATGGGAGTGGGGATGGGATGGAGGGGACCAGCAGGGATGGAGGGACAAGAAGGGATGGAGGGATGGGAGTGGGGATGGGATGGAGGGGACCAGCAGGGATGGAGGGACAAGAAGGGATGGAGGGATGGGAGTGGGGATGGGATGGAGGGGACCAGCAGGGATGGAGGGACAAGAAGGGATGGAGGGATGGGAGTGGAGATGGGATGGAGGGGACCAGCAGGGATGGAGGGACAAGAAGGGATGGAGGGATGGGAGTGGAGATGGGATGGAGGGGACCAGCAGGGATGGAGGGACAAGAAGGGATGGAGGGATGGGAGTGGAGATGGGATGGAGGGGACCAGCAGGGATGGAGGGGATGAGAAGGGGTGGAGGGATGGGAGTGGGGACAGGATGGAGGGGATTAGAAGGGATGGAGGGGACAGGAAGGGGTGGAGGGACAAGAAGGGATGGAAGGGACCAGCAGGGATGGAGGGATGGGAGTGGGGATGGGATGGAGGGGACTGGCAGGGATGGAGGGATGGGAGCAGGGATGGGATGGAGGAGACAAGAAGGGATGGAGGGATGGGAGTGGGGATGGGATGGAGGGGACCAGCAGGGATGGAGGGGTAGGGAAGGGGTGGAGGGATGGGAGTGGGGACAGGATGGAGGGGATTAGAAGGATGGGAACAGGGAAGGGAGGGAGGGATGGGAACGGAGACGAGATGGAGAGGACGGGCAGGGCTGGAGGGATGGGAGTGGGGACAGGCCGAGGGGGATGGGCAAGGATGGAGGGATGGGCGCAGGGAGGGGATGGAGTGGGATGGAGGGGACGAGGAGGGATGGGAACAGGGAAGAGATGGAGGGGATGGGAAGGGATGGAGGGATGGGAGTGAGGATGGGATGGAGGGGACAGGGAGAGTTGGAGGGGACAGGGTGCGATGGAGGGATGGAGCGGGGATGGGATGGAGGGATGGGAGCAGGGACGGGCTGGAAGGGACCAGCGCTGGGGGCTGCGAGCAGGGAAGGCGGTGGAGGAGCCGTGGTGGGATGGAGGGATGGGAGTAGCGAAGGGCTGGAGGGGAGGGGAGGGATGGGGTGGTGCGAGCGGGGAAGGGATGGAGGGGACGGTGGGCGGGTTGGGAGTGGAGAAGGCATGGGAGGAGCCGGCATGGGATGAAGGGATGGGACCAGGGAAGGGATGCCGGGGACAGAGCGCAACAGAGGGGTGGGAGTAGCGAAGGGACGGGGAGCGCAGGAGGGAGGGGAGTGGTGAGGGGGCGGAGGGGAGGGGTGGAAGGGCCGGGCTGGCATGGAGGGGTACGGGGAGGGGT